CTGATAGCTATCATCTCCAACTATTCAAATGCAATGTCAATCGACATCTCCAGACTCCTTGATCTATTCTCCGTCCCTTTCTCTTTACTCTTGCTCCCACTCTCTGTAACTCATTGCGTACTAGTGGGACACCCGCCTTGCTAGGGTGAAATGTTTAATATATATATATATATATATATATATATATATATATATATATATATATATATATATATATAGTTTTAATGTATATTATTTAGATTGGTATAGAAATAGAACGTATGTAAATTTAAAAGTGGAGACTGCGGTCAACAGCAAGCGCTGATAGCCAGTATCATAAAATAGCTACAAATGACCATATTCGGATCCACAATGATTCGTACTCAATAGCCTCTAGAATAAATTGAAACATAACTGTTACTGCCTAACCAGTAACATAATACATTAGACCTCATTACCCATGCACCATTGACCAGCATATATATCAATAGCCGAGTCGAGACACATGGCCTGAAGATTGCGTTCAAGCATAAAACATATTGTTGACGCTTGTTGATTTCAGTGTCCACTGCAAATTTTCGGGATAACAACTGAGACATTACTTATTGAACAATTTAGTTCATACCACATTGACTGATAAACTCCTACGACAAAATCTCAAATTGCTATATTAGTAAAAAAATGCGCTCACTTAAATTTTCGAAAAAAAGTTTGTATCCGATATCAATAACACATTTTAAAAAAAAGCTATTTCGATTCGCATTATATTTTTTCGTCTCGGATGCTACCTGAATTTTACCAAAAACAAAATAATTTCCATGCCTGAAGATGATTGAATATACAGTCGAAAGTACTTGCATATTTAAGAAAGGCCTAATACAGCTTCTAATTTTAAAAAACAAGGATCATAACATTCATCGAGTAATTGGTAGGTTAATGCAACTTTAAAATTTTGTTAGCGAAGGGATTTCGCCATTTTATATCATTAACTTTACTAATTTATTTTTTGTTTGAATGATTCATTGTAATATATAGTTGTATGTATGTATGTATGTGCGTGTACAAGTATACATATAAAATAGGCATATACGCGTGTGTGTACGCAGATATATTTGAGTAGGCATGTATATGTTTGTATGTAAAAGAAAAATTAGAGTTTGCTCGGTAAATCGAATATGTAATTACTTCCGATCTATGCTGATTACTTAACAGTCGTAGAATTTAAGAACGACCTGGGCTTTGCGATAAAAATCTATACTAATAAGAAGACGCAAAAAAAAATTAATCAAATTAATAATAAAGTAATAATGCCACAGATTCTTTGAATAAATTAGGATACGTTTTTATTTCAAACAACGCCAAACGCGTCTTATTACAGTCATGGCGGACACCAGAACAGTTTGACTTCCCATTGAAGAAATGTTTTCAAGGTTTCAGAATTAGGATCTCCCTGGGAAATTTTGTTCCTAGCCCTGAATCAACAATTCTTTTATTCATCACGAAGCCAATAACTGCCACATAAAAGCCTCTTACATCGTTTTAATTGCCTGTTCGATTTACATATCAACGCGAAGCTGTCGAAAAAGGAACAGAAAGCTTTGCAAACAAATACTTTGTTTTTATTCAGTTTTTTTTTTTCTACGTTGGCTGATGCCACACCGGAACATAACTTTTATTTTTCCACTGACTCGTATATTCCTCGGCAGAAAACCATCGTCGAAATTCGTTATCTACAAACAACATATAAATCTTTTGACGGCATAAAAGTAAGTTTCCCCATACTAACAGGAAAAGGGTAATCTATGAAGCCATTTCACAGAGAATTTGTAGCCTAGAAATTAAGGTAAGCTCATCGCATTTCTTAAGTAATGCGTAAATCCGTTTCCCCTCTTATCAGCAAATGTAAGCATTTTTTTTCCTGTGACAGTATTTTTTGAAAATATTCAGCATGCAAGTTTATTTTTTTTTCTTTTCTTTTCCTGTTTCAATGGTAGTCTCCTGTCAATACTGTGAACAAAAATAACAGATCCGTAGAAGGCAGCATAAAAATCTGCATATACTTGTCAATACTTCTGGTTCTGCGATTGTAGAACGTCCTCTAAATAATCCTATTCGTGCTTCGTCTTTTACCAGAGAATTTTTTCACAGTCGTCAGTAGATGTTTAATCGATTTATTCATTTTTTTTATGGTTTCTCAGCCTTTTGCCCGTCAGTTTAAAACCCGGAAATATTTTTAGATTTTACGATTTCTTTTAAATTTTTTCTTATTTTGGCGAGGGAAGATAATAATGGTTTTAATGATACAAGTAAAACTAATTAACCCATAAGTAGTGGGAGATGAGATGAATTCATACATTAAAGTGAATATAACGAACTCAACCAGAATTGGAACTCCGTTCTCCGATTAATAATTCCGAAGCCTTATTCATTACACCACCCGCATATCCAAACTTACAGCAATCTTCTCTCTTCAAGCAGAAAGAATGGCAACTAGGCCCAAATGTATTTTGTCTGTGATTTATATTCCTGATTCTCTGGTAGTATAAATTATTTCTCTTCGCATTTTTTTTAGCCCTTGTGTTCCTATTTATATTTTGCCCTCAAATGAGCTGTGAAGAGCGAGGAGCCATAATTGGATAGCTATTTTTTTTTTTGTTTTTTTTTTGTTATATTCTTCAATTCACAACATTACGGCGGGTAATTATTTTGTTTTTACTTATCTACCCCCACCCCGGTTTTAATATATTTGTATATATTATGCGGATATATACATTTAGAATATCCTATTTATTTACAAAAAAAAAATAATAAAAGCAACATTGTTCTTCCTGAACTTATTGTCTAGACAGCAATTGATGAAATTCACTTTGCATAAAAGCTCTTTTTTTCGTTCTACGTTAACCAGTGTGACATGCAAGTAATGAGACCGGTATTCAACACCATCGCTTGATAAGACACCAGAAGTTTTGAAACCTTTATTCTACATTCAACATCATCACTTGATAAGGCACCAGAGGTGGTGAAACAAAATGGCTATTTTTCTGGTGATTTTATAACATTTTTATGTTATAATTTTTAAATAAATAATTATATTCGCTCTACTCTGTATTGAGCACTCTTTTAAGAATAGTAATTGTTGGTTATCGGAATTTATTCCGTATATACCAATCCTATATATATATATATATATATATATATATATATATATATATATATATATATATATATAGTTTATGCAAAAACTAGGTAATCCGTATGGGTAAACCTAAGGAGGATAAAATCCAGAGAGCTCAATGTAAATTCAGAGCAAATAATTTAAATAAAACAGACCACTTTAAGGTTCCATGTAATGCATTATTTTACCACAGTCCTTTTAAATGTGCCAATATCTGCTAACTCACTCATGTCTTCTCTCTCCCCCATCACTTCCTCACTTCGTTAATTTACATATGTTTTAATACGGCCCGTCAAAAATGTGTAAATTTTCTTTTCATTTTTTGTTTGGAAGTAAAGTCTGATGATCCACAGTCCTTTTAAAAGGGCTGCGGTGAAATAATTAATTACATGGAACCTTAAAGTGGACTGTTTTTATTTAAATTATATATATATATATATATATATATATATATGTGTGTGTGTGTGTGTGTGTGTGTGTGTGTGTGTGTGTGTGTGTGTGTGTGTGTGTGTATCGGGTGTAACTACAGAATAGCCCAAATTATGTAACAGCAAAATTATCCTTCCCACAAAATATTTGATATCTAGAAAAAACACTAAACTAATTGAGTTTCTGTTTTTCCAGATTTCCAGACAAGAAAACCGTCTTGACACCATTTGTCGTAAGAATCACTGAAAACTTTGAGTTATTCAGCTAAAAAAAACGAGCATCTTAAAATTGCTTTGGGTCAGATCCTTTGTCTTCCCAACTGAGCAATGGTGAGATGAAAAAGATCATTCAGGCCTTCAGTAATGGTACCAACATTCATACTCTGGCTTACATCTTCGTAGTTCATTCAAGAACCATCACGAGAACGGTGATAAGTTTAAAATAGCGGGAAAAAGTTATGGAGGTTACAACAAGAAGTTTTACAGAAAATGGAAACAAAAAGGACAATTATACTTAACATCAGGATGTTGAGATTTGTTGCAGTTGAGATTTCTATTGCACAAAATGAGGAAAGTGGGCTCGGAAAATTTGATACTCACAAGACAAGATGAAAGCAAGCTGAACAGAGAAAAACCTACCGAGCGATCTTGTGTAAATGCTTGATGGAACAAGGTTTAGGAGAGATAACAAAAAGACAAAATTTATTAAGAGTTACAAAGAACAGGAAATTGTGGAGAGCCATCACTGACAAAATCGGTACATAGAAGAAGAAGAAGTTATCTAACTTGCCTATCAAAACACCCATCCATCCCGGGGTGAGATTGTCTTTGAACATAATGATAAGATGAGACGTTTCCTTATAAGGAAACATCCGGCATTCATTAACCGAACAGTTAGTGTTACCAGCTGCTGAAATTTACATAATTTTTCTCTTAGAAGTGTTTTCAGGGAAATAAGTGTTGCAGTTTTTTGTGTATATATATCTACTAGTGAGCCAACCCAAATGACCTGACTCACTTTATAGTCCACCAATAGAAGGTTAACTAATCAGAAGACGTAGAACATTCAATCCGTCGTGTATAAAGGCGGCCATTTTGTTTACCCTACCCGAATGTCCAGTTCCAGCTTGTCAGGCGAAGAGGAACAGAAGGGGAGAACTACTGAACTAAGCTCTGCTACTTTACCAGGATATCCACTGCTAACCGGAACTACGCTTCCCTACTGTCTTCGAAATATTTCAATGCTAACCTCTGGATTCTATACTCAAAGACGACCGTCATCATGCAAAATAAGATTTTCAATTCCATGGGGACGGCGCCATTGGACTTGAAGAAGAAATAGTGGTGGAGAACATCAGGCAAGGCCCAGCTGGACCGTTTGCGTGATTTTAGTTCAGGGTGGACGGTTCGGATACCTCATGCCCACGCCTTTTCGCTCCGCTGCTCATAATGTGGCTGAGATAGGCAGTCTTGAACAATGGAACTGTGTCGGCTTGCAGAAATCCAGATCTTTTAGGGATCGCCTTGACGCCAGCCCGAATAGCGGTACAACATCACTTTCTGCCTACCTTTTCTAGGTTCTTGATAGGCTTACCATTCTTCACCCTGGATAAGCAATCCCCTACTTTGGCGTTTTCCAAGGTCGTAGTCGTAATATTTTGGGATCCAAAAATCCCAACTCTTATAATATATCAGAACACAATAATATTAACCTGGTCGTTTGTCTCGAAAAGGACCTCCAATCTGTGATTGACTGTGGCAGGAAATGGCTTGGAAATTTTTTTGCCTCCGAAATGAAACTGCTCTCACCATAGAGAAACCTCCCAGCCTCCTATCAGCATGGCTGATGCTCAACTTCACAAGACAGTCTCTCTGCGCCTTTTAGGTCTCACGTTTTCCACTGACCTGAGGTGGAACAACTACATTGAATTAATAGCTACATCTACTCCAAGGAAAGTTGGTTCTCTGTGTCGCATCGGAATGTTTTTCTCGTCTGAGTCCACTCTTCAGATCTACAAATACCATTCGTCCTTGAATTCAATACTGTTGTCATATATGGTAAGGTGCTCCCGCTATTCATCTCGAGGTTCTTGACAAGATCCAAAGACCGATATGCAATATGATAGATCTTGACATGGCATCTCGACTCCAGTCTCACAGACATGATGTGGCTTCCCCCTGTCTTTTCTACAAATATTTTCATGGTAACTGCTCTGACAAGCTATATTCACTGGTGCACCAACTGCATGAATTTAAGCGTGCTACTAGGTTGGCATCTCGGTCCCAGCCATTTACTGCCAAAACAGTTAAATTTAACTACCTCTTCTACTCCAACAGCTTCTTTTCCCACACTTCCCGACAATGGAACTCCCTTCCTCTTACTTGCTTCCCTGATAACTATAATCTTCAAAAATTTAAATGTAATATCAATCGTCATTTTCTGATGCCTTGATCTTGATCTCCGTCCTTCTGTTTATCTTTTCCTCAAACACCCCTCTTTACTTGATTAAGCCATAAGCAAACACCCCTCAAATCTTGATTAAGCCATAAGCAATCAGTGCTGGGACGTCTAGATGTGGTATAATGATCAAAAGCGTGTCTCGCTAGATCTGTTACGACTGAATAGTGAGTTCGATCCTCACTGGGTGTCCCATAACTCTTGGCAACCCCTTTTGTTCTAGTGTCACACCTGCCTTGCTTGGCCTGAAATGCTTTAAAAATAAAAATAAAAAAAAAGCAGTTAAAAGGTTTATTGGGAAATCTGACGTTATTTTCCGATCAACCTAATATATTAGAACACAATTAAAAGTTTTATTTGAATATCGGACATTATTTTCTAAACAACCTAATATATAAGAAAAATCTTTTAATGAAAAAAAAAAAAAAAAATCCCCACAAGACTAGAACAAAAAATTTAGTGTAAAGTTATTTTTAGAAAAAGATAACGGTCTGAAAGGGTGGAATTCTGAATTTATTTTTTGAAAGCTAGATTATAATGAAACAAAACGTTAAATATGTTGTTTTATAAAGTTAATGTGAAAAATGATAATTACTTAATGAAACTGAACATACTATTTACGTTGACCAAAGCAAATGCGACAATGAATCAAGGTCGTTAAATATGGAATAATTCTAAATATTTTCTCTATTGTATGAGTTTCACATGACCAGGAAATAATCTGACCCCAAATGATCAAAATAAATGATGTTTTTAACAGAGTAAACGCTTAGATTTATTTGTTCTTTCATTGCTTTCTAGTTACCAGCAAAATTTCCGCCATCATCAAATCTTGATTAAGCCATAAGCAATCAGTGCTGGGACGTCTAGATGTGGTATAAAGATCAAAAGCGTGTCTCCCTAGATCTGTTACGACTGAATGGTGAGTTCGATCCTCACTGGGTGTCCCATAATTTCGGTCTTATGCCACATCTAATGTACGCTTAAAAATCATTTCTGAACTTCGAAGTGGTGTAATGGTTAACAAGCTTGTCTCACTAGATAAATTACGACTGAGTAGTGAGTTCGATACTCACTAGGTGACCCATACTTTCGGCCTTGAGCTACATCTAAGCTACGCTTAAAAATTTATTTCTGAACTTCGAAGTGGTGTAATGGTTAACAAGCTTGTCTCGGTAGATACATTACGACTGAGTAGTGAGTTCGATACTCACTAGGTGACCCATACTTTCGGCCTTGAGCTACATCTAAGCTACGCTTAAAAAATTATTTCTGAACTTCGAAGTGGTGTAATGGTTAACAAGCTTGTCTCGGTAGATACATTACGACTGAGTAGTGAGTTTTACGCTCACCCAGTTGCCAATACTTTCGGCCTTGAGCCACATCTAAGCTACGCTTTACAAATCATTTCTGACCTTCGAAGTGGTGTAATGGTTAACAAGCTTGTATCGCTAGATACATTACGACTGAGTAGTGAGTTCGATGCTCACCAGGAAGCCCATACTTTCGGCCTTGAGTCACATCTAAGCTACGCTTAAAAATCATTTTGGGCGCCAAGAAATGGTGTAATGGTTAACAAGCTTTTCTCACTAGAACGATTACGACTGAATAGTGATATTCGATCCTCACTAGGTTCCCTCTACTTTCGGACTTGTGCCACATGTAAGCTAGGCTTAGAAAAGCTCCTCAGGGATTCATTATTGTCTCCAGGGCACTTTCAACATTTACAGAAATAAACATAAATGATCTATTTCCATCGGTATCCACCCTAAATCTCTCTCTCTCTCTCCCCCCCTCTGCCCCTCTCTCTCTCTCTCTCTCTCTCTCTCACACTCTATCTGTCTCTCCCTCTCTCTCGTTCAGTACCCTGCCAAATTTGGTATTAATTTATAAGGGCTCTCAACAACGGCGCTTCGCTCAGTGCTTTCACTTAGAGTATCAGCTATTGGACGCGAGGTGTTCTGTAACATTAATAGAATACTGAATTTGTATTATTACTTTATACTAGCAGTATAACCCGTCATTGGCCGGGTCTTTCATTACTGGGAATTTTTGCCGTTGAATTGGAGCAGTTTAAGTTTAAAGTCAGCCCACCCGAAAATCAATATTAGTAACAAACATTTGGGTGAAACTAAGGCACATCCCCAAATGGGGGGTTAACGATTTGAAGGGGGGGCTGAAAAGGAAACTTTATAATAATAGTTACTATTATTTTAATAATTTAAACTATTTATTTTAATTATTTTTATTAAAGTTTTTTATGAAATATATATACCCAAGAATAGATAGTAAATAGTAAAACGTTGCTGAAAGTTATAATGTACAGGAAGTAGTGGAGAGCCATTGTTGCCAACAACTTGGACTCAAAACCGTCACTGAAGAATTATCTATCAAGCAAAGGAAAAGTTAATCAAAATCGAATGAAAACTGTGGAAATGAATAAGCAACATTAGATCATGCACACACACATACATACACACACACATTTTGAGAGTTATAGATATAGATTAAGTTTCGTGTTAATATGTCAAATATGTTCACTAAGTTTTACTTGCGTATATTTGTGGCGGCCTGTTGGAGGTATGGTAAGTTGTGTACAGTAAGTTTTAGGAGTACTCTCCCACTTGTTTACAAATCGATGGTAAAGGTTTGCTTTTTATACCCACCATATAAGTCGACCCAAAGTATAGTAATTTTTTAGGCTTGACTACTCGACTTGTACGCCGCAATTTACAGTAACTATCGGCCACAGTGGAAGGAGTATATTGAAGCAATTGCTAAGCCTGCAGATAAGAAAGTTGGTTCTCTATGTCGTGCTAAACAATTTTTCTCCCCAAAATCTATCTTACATATTAATAAGTCTACCATTCCTTCTTTCTTTGAATATTGATGCCACGTCTGATTTGGTCTTCCTGCTATATATTTAGAGATTCTTGATAAAACCCAAAGAATAATCTGCAATGTTATTTATCCTGACCTGGCATCTTGGCTTCAGTCCCTTCCTCATCGCCATAATGTAGCGTCCATTTGCCTTTTCTATAAATACTTTCATGGTAATTGTTCTGATGATAGTACCTAGACTTTATGAATTTAATCGCAGTGATAGATTAGCGGCAAGATCTCATCATCTTACAGTTGAAATAGCTAGATGTAACCGTAAGTTCTATAATGAGAGTTTCTTTACAAGCACTTTTCGCTTGTGGAACTGTCTTCCGGATGCTTACCTCCCAGTCAACTTTGAGCTTTAAAAATTTAAATGCAATGTCAATCGCTATCTTCTGTTTTTTTTTTTTTTTTTTTTTATTGTCCTCTGTCATTAATAGTAGTTTTTTTTTGGTTTTTTTTTGTTTTTTTGTCATAGTTGTTACAAATTCATGACGGTCGTCTTCGAGTATAGAATCCAGAGGTTGCCAGTGAATATTTCGGAGACAGTAGGAAAGCGAAGTGCAGGTTCGCAATGGATATCACAGCAAAGTAGCAGAGCGTAGTTCTTCCTTCAGGCATGTTCGCCTGACATGTTGGCTCTGGTCATTCCGGTAGGGTAAACAAAGATGGCTGCCTTTATACACGACGGATACAATGTTCTGCGGCTTCTGATTGGTCAACCTTCTATTGGTAGACGATAAAGGGAATTAAGTCATTTTGACTAACTCACTAGTTACATAGTATATATACACAAAAAACTGTAACAATAGTTGCTAACACTAAGTAACCGTTGCATCACAGTGGTTTTATTGCTTTGCTTAGGGCGAAATGATATTTTTAAAAAAGGGAAGCGGTAGATGCATGCGTTTTCCAACGAAATTATTGCAAAGTACTAGCTTGTATTTATCTCGACATTGCCTCAGGTGGGATTGAAACCGCCCTGCCCAATGACTTGTCATTGAAGAATTTCACTGTTTATTGTTGTTTTTTACTCTAGAGACGACAATTCTATCAAATCGAGGATTCTTTACCATGAACGTTTTGGGGAAAGATAACGAAATAGTTGCAAGTTGGTTCAGTTTTATATTTCCCCTAGACTGTTTGCCAGCCAAGGAGATAGAGGTCAGTCTACTCTGCTATTTACCTAACAGCTGGTAGAAAAGTGATATGTTCTTGCCTTTCCCAAATGCATTAGTGTGAAATAAACACGGACTGTATCAAGTACAATCTGAACACGTCTGACCAGTTCCATTTTTCTCGCCGTTAACCGTTAGGGCACACGAACCTTCACTGGTGAGGGGATGGGGTTAAAGTTGGGAATATATCTGAAGTCTCAGAATATAATCATTTTTCTCTAGAAATTTGGAACTAACTTTTTAATTGTATCTCAATTATTCAGACGATATATTCTTGCACTAATTTAAACGGCTATCTATATATTTATTTATTTCCCCCTTCCTTCTCTCTCTGTCTCTCTCTCTCTCTCTCTATACATATATATATATATATATATATGTGTGTGTGTGTGTGTGTGTGTGTGTGTGTGTGTGTGTGTGAAAAACATAATAGAAAATAGGAAAGAACTCGTTAGGTAAATAATCCGAAGTTCTTTAGTATTTTTGTTTTTATTTTTAAAAAATAAGGCTCGATACAAAAGTAGAGCATAAATATAATTATTTATTTGAATAAAATAATTATATATAAGTCCAACTCTTACCTCACAGTCTGTGGGGGGGTTTAAACGGTAGTGTCAGAGCTATGCCGCCCGGAACTTCGTTCCTGGTAGGGCCACCCAAGGCGGACAGGTCTGACACACACGCCGGCTAACAAGGGCTCTGGTGAAAATCCAAGGAGCGTCTGCATCGGTAACCGGCGGATTCTGGTCGTACCTGTCTCTGCGTCTGTGGGAACCCCGCGGCAAGCAAGAACGTTATCCGAGTAGGCCTGGGTACCCTACTTCTGTAATTTATCCCAAGAATCTTCTTCTCATAACAGGAAGAAGCCGGCTCAATCCGCCCAGGGGTGAATGCCGCATCAGTACAGTACAGTAGTGTATATATATATATATATATATATATATATATATATATATATATATATATATATATATATCCTACGCTGATGAATGCTTAGCAAAAGTTTTACTACCATTAGGCAACATTCCCTAATCAGTGTCCAGATTGATGACAAGCCTAAGGCATACCCTGATGTACCGTTCCATAGAACGATTTTTCGCTAGACGAAGACAGACTGGGACAGCTTTCGATCCTACATGATGGATTTACCCCTCCGAACGTTCTTCATACATGTTGCCTCCAAAACTGCTGCCCTTGTGACTGATTGGATCTTTTCTAGAATGGAGAGATTTATGCTCATAAAAATCCAGCAAAAATCAGTCAGTTCAGTCCTGGTTCATCCTCGAAAGAGGGGGAGGCAAAACTCAGCGAAATCACAGCTTCAATAGAATGTAAGAATGGGCTGGCCTTCTTCAGACTGTTTATAACGCAGAACGAAACTTAGTTACAGTTTCTGGGAGAAAGCGCGCTCTCTCTCAGAAACTGTTACTATGGTCTGCTCAGCATAGTGCGGTATAAACCACAGGTGGGCTCTGTGGGTGTTGAACAGACACAAATGAGCCTAAGGAAGCGTCTTCAAAAAGTATTTCCAACCAACTTTAATATGCAAAAATTTAAATGCAATGTAAATCGCTATCTAGTCTCCTCGTGACTGTTCCTTTCCTTCTCCTCATTAATAATGTTTCTGTTACTCATTGTTCCACAACCTCTAACTCCTTGCCTGATAGTGGCTGTACTACATTACATGGGGGGATACCGATTAATACACACACACACACACACACACATATATATATATATATATATATATATATATATATACAGTGTCCGTTAAAAAAAATGTATACACTCTTTCGTAGTTTTATCAAATTGCAATAAAAGTTTTACTATAGTGTACCATAAAGGATGTTGCGTACCGCAGAAAACTGATTACTTTAGACAAGAAATTGAAAATGCAAGTGCAGTAATCCCATTGGGCACTTTCACTGGCGTTGCCCAAGCTGTAGTTCGTCGTACTAATAAATATCTGGAAGCTATATGCCACCATTTTAAGAATCTCTTGGGATTGTAGAATCCAAAAGTAATTTTTATTAATCTTGTGATGTCTCAAATTCAGTTTACAAAATCTATACAAGATTTTCCGTTGCTGAAGAGTCTGTAAATTCTCTCCCCCCTCCTCTCTCTCTCTCTCTCTCTCTCTCTCTATATATATATATATATATATATATATATATATATATATATATATATATTGAAAGATTTTTTATGTTTAACATTCTTTTTTATAGATACAAGTATTTAAGTAAATGCTCTGTTTATAATAAACAGATTTAAATAACATTTACCGGCCTGAATTCTACCGAACTCTCCTTTGTGGCCGAGTCGGTTAAGGCACGTCAGCGTAAATGACGGTTCCGTATAGGATGCAGGTTCGAATCCTGTCAAAGGACGAATATTTTCTATGAAAATTTCTCGGACATTCAGGCCGGTAAATGTTATTTAATACTGTTTATTATAAACAGAGCATTTACTTAAATACTTGTATCTATAAAAAGAATGTTAAACATAAAAAATGTCTTTAATAAATTGTCGGGCTTTGTCCAATTCTTTATATATATATATATATATATATATATATGATCTCGCACACTGAGTGCTGGTGTTAATAGTGTTAATGTAACATAAGTGAGGTATAAACTATATATGAATAATAAACATATATTTTCTCATCACTGGTAGCACAACTCTGAAATTTCATGCACAAAGCAATCGTCATGGGCTGAGTTAAAACTGATCGTCGCATAATTTAAATTTTGATATAGATACCGGACTAACTTTTATTTATATTTATTTTTAAAAATAAACCCTGTAAATATGGATTTCTGTTGTGAAGTGAATCCGGTATATATATATATATATATATATATATATATA